TTTTTTTTTTTTTTTTTGTCCTTTTTGAGACCGGCTGCACTGCGCTCAGCCAGTGAGCGTTGTGAGCGTACCGGTCATCCATATATAGGATCTGAACCCGCGGCAGAAGTGCTGCTGTGCTCCCAGCGCCGCACTCTCCCGAGTGCGCCACGGGCTCGGCCCTGAGATTTTTATCTTAGTTGATGCCAACTGTTGGCTTCCTAGGCTGCACAACAAACGAACATGAACTTAGCAGCATAAAACACAAATGCATGTTAGGGGCCGGCCCGTGGCTCACTCAGGAGAGTGTGGTGCTGATAACACCAAGGCCACGGGTTCGGATCCCTATATAGGGATGGCCGGTTAGCTCAATGGGTGAGCGTGGTGCTGACAACACCAAGTCAAGGGTTGAGATCCCCTTACCGGTCATCTTTTAAAAAAAAAAAAAAACACAAATGCATGTTGGCGTGGTTCTGAGCGTTAGAAATTCAGGTGTGGGTCGGCTGGATCCTCCTTTCAGGGTCTCATCAGGCTGAAATCAAGCTGTGGCCAAGGCTGAGATCTCATCCAGGGGCCAGGGTCCTCTTCCAGGCTCACTGGTGGCCGGCAGAATCCTCTTCCTTGCTGGGTGTCGTGGGGAGATGGCTCTCAGCTCCAGAGGCTGCACTGGGATCCTTGCCACGTGCTCCCCTCCTCGCACAACATGGCCTTTTGCTTCTTCAAGGCCAGTAGGAGGGCAACAGGCTCGCCTGATTAGGCCAAGCTCACTCAGATAGTCTCCCTTTTGATGAACTCAGTGTCAAATGATTTGGGACCAAATCCCTTTTGCCGGATGACAGAACTGCAGAGATGACATCCCATCATAGTCACAGCCCCACCCACACTCAAGGGGCAGGAGTAGTATGCACGTGCACAAACGGGCTGGCTTCTTGGGGACCACCCTAGAATTCCACCCACCACGCTAACAGGCTCAGAGGAATAGATCTCAGACAAGGCACCTCCTCCTTTCTGGAAACCTAGCACAGGGGAGAGCAGGGGGAGGGGGCTGGCACATTTAGGGCTTTTGTGTTTCTGTCGGGGAGAGAACAGGGAGTCCTGACATCTACACTGAGCATGTGACCCAATGTAAACTCAACTACCATATCTGGCATTGGCCCCAAGAGAGGAAACACCTTACCCGAGGTCAACCAGCAAGCACCGCAAGGGCCCGTCTAACTGTGGCCCTACAAGGGACTCAAACTCTGGCTCCTGATGTGGGGAGCTCGAGGAACAGTCATCAGAGGACGATGCTGTTAGAAGTTGTGGCAGGGGCCGGCCCGGTGGCGCACTCGGTAGAGTGCGGCGCTTGGGAGTGCGGCGGTGCTCCCGCCGAGGGTTCGGATCCCATATAGAGACCGGTCCACTCACTGGTTGAGCGCGGTGCGGGCGTGACACCGAGGGTTGTGATCCCGTTGCCGGTCACGAAAAAAGACAAAAAGGAAAAAAAAAAAAAAAAAAGAAGTTGTGGCAGACAGAGACTCGGCAACAGCCCCCAGCCATTCCTGCATACTGAGAGTCACGCCCCACACGGGCCTCTCCCCTTGACTGCAGGAGGTCCTGGAACTTGCTTGTAACCAGAACAGCATGCAGAGGTGAAGGGATACCATCCTGTCCCTGCATTATGTGAGGCTGTAACTTCCACCTCGCAGGCAGGCTCTACTGTCTTCTTGGCCTACTGATGTAGCAAACAGTCACACTGGGGTGGCCCATGTGGCAAAGGACTGAAGGCTGCCCCCAGCCAACAGCTAGTGAGAAATGGAGGCCCTCCATCTGACAACCAGCAAGGAACTGAATTTGTCTTACAACCACGTGAGCTTGGAAGCCAATCCATCCTCAGTCAAATATGGAGATGAGACTGCAGCCCAGGAGGCCTTGATGGCTGCCTTGTGAGACCCTGAGGTGATGGACCCAGCTATGCTGTGCCCAGACACCTGACCCACAGAACTGTGAGATAATAAATATCTGTCTTAAGATGGTAAATTTGTTGTAATTTGTTACACAGCAATAGCTGACTAACACAGGAGTTGAAAAGAGGCCACACTTGCCAGCTTTAGGACAAGGTGTGTGCCACCTGGAGCAGGTGGTCTGGTCTGGACAGTTATAAGGTGACGACAGATGTTACACCAGCTGGGGACCTAGGGTCTAGTCCAAACCCCTCATTTACCAATTAAGTCACAGAGGGGGGATACAAACAATTCGCAGTCACACAGCAGTTCATTTTCTACCTCCCGTCACCTTTACAGCATCAAGGCCCCTATGGAATGTGGTATCAGTGTTGAAAAAGCATCAGAACCCCTTGTTACCACTGGGGGGGTGCCCTTACCTTTTCCCTCACAGCAGGCAGCAAAGCGTTGAAGCATGTGGCCAGAAAGACCCCGCCCCCAAAGGCGTTGCAGAGTGAAAGGATCTTCTTGGAGCGGTGGGCCTTCTCATAGTCCGACTCGATGATCTTCACAGGGAGCAGGGAGCCAAGCAGCATGAAGAAGAACACGACCACCATGCAGAGGATTTTGGCCACTAACAACCTAGTCATGGTGGCGACCTGGGCTGCTCCGGTCACCGCAGGGCCAAACCATGTGTGGGTGTACACCCCAGTCCCTCGACGTGCTACTGGGCCCAACCACGCAGCTGAAGGCTCATGCCTCAGTCCAGCAACTGTGAACACCAGAGGTAACTGCATTAGGTGCTGGATTATGTAGCCAGCTCTAGTGACAGAGACTGTCACACTGAGTACTCTACTCCACTCGCAGGCTTGGTGCATATTTACTGCCTCCTACAGAAAATTCTGCAGAACTGCACCATCCAGTATGGTAGCTACTAGCCACATGTCTGTTTAAATTAATTAAAACTAAATAAGATTCCATATTCAGCGCCACAGTCACAGTACCCACACTTCAAGTGCTCAGCAGCCACATAAACCTAGTGGTTACCATATTAGACAACACAGAGAACGTTTCCCTCATTGCAGAACGTCCTACTAGATGGTCCCACTCCACTGGCTTCTCACTGCCCTGACATAAAACTCAAATTCTTTACCCTGCAGCTGAGGATCTGCACGATCAGCTCCTGCCTCACCTCCACCCACGCTGGCTTTTCTGGACCTGAAGAGCCAAGCTTGCTGGTGCTTCAGGGCCTTTGCACAGGTTGTTCTCTCTGCCTGGAACAGTCCTTTCCCCCGGCCTTCCAATGATGCCTCCTCCTTGTCTTTCAATCCACTGCCTCCTGGACCCTTCAGAAAGGCCTGGAGGACCCGTTCTAAACCATATCCCTTGTACTCACAGCAAGGCCTGCTGCAGAATAGATGCTCAGCAATCTCTGGCTGAATAAATGGATGAGCTGAAGTGTGTGGACACCGACCAGGGCTTCTATATGTGACTCAGTGGGCCAAATGGCAGTAGATTTCATCCTGGACCCCAAAATGTCACTGTTATTAGGGGGGACCTCGGCTCCTCCCCTGCCTTGGGTTTTCCCCCCACTGGGCACTCTGTGTCCCACCGCCAGCCCCTAGCTCTTCTCATGGCCCACTCCCTCACTCCATTCCGGTCTTCAGGTCTCTGTTCAGATGTCACTCGTCAGGGAGGCCGCCCCCATCCTCTTCCCTGGGATTATTTTCCTCTATTTTGTGCTAAGGGGAAACTATATTATCTAAAGTCGTTGAAAGTCTTCCCTCCCTTTAGGCTGTGAGCTCTGCAGGGGCAGGGAGTCTGTCTTGCTCAAGCCTAGCAGTACCCAACGCAGTCACCAAGGCACACAGTAGGCGCCCAATAAATACCTGTCGGGCGTCTGGATGCCCCAGTCCGGGGTCGAGGGTGGCCTGGACGCGATCAAGCCGGGAACTGACTGAGCTGGGCCGCGGAGGGGACGTGCTCATTCATTCACTCAGCATTTATTGACCGCCGTCTGTGTGCCCCTCGCTGCCGGACGCCGGAGCCGGCCTCCGCTAACGGCCGGGCAGGGTC